ACACCCTAAAATTTAAATACCTTGATTCTCATTTTTAAACTTAGATACAAAAACTAATGATGGGACAACTAAGTAAATTTCTAAAAAAGTTGGGTTGAGATACTTTTGTTTTGGGTGAGTTTCATGGATTGTATTGGGCTACTTCATGGGTCAGAGTGAGTTATAAAAAATAATGGGTTAAGGGCATCTCCAATGGTGCACTATTTTTTACACCAAATCTAAATTTGGTGTAAAATTTGGTATTTTTTGCTCCAATGGAACATTAAATTTTGCACCATTTTGGTGTAGTGTCGCACCATTTTGGTGTAGTGTCACACCAAATTTGATGTGGCACTATTCATCAACACCAAATTTGATTTATTATTATTTTATTCATCTTTTTATTTTTTTGGACTTTTAATTTATCATATATTGTGTATATAACTAATTTTTATATTAAGATCTTTTTAATTTTAATTTTATATCCTATTTTTTTGATATATTAATTTTTGTATATATTATATTTATATAAAATTATAAGTTAATTTTATTATTATTATAGTTGTATAAAAATAAATATAACCATTATTTAAAACTAAAAAATACAAATGTAAGATATCCAATGTTGCTAAAATTGAAAAGTGAAAACTAAAATTTAAAAAAGAAAATTAACAATACATAAAACTTCAAAGGAGGATACATTAAAAAATATAAAACATAAGTTTAGTAATCCGGTATGTCATTTTCAGGTGCACCAAAATTACTAAAAAATTGAGAGAACATGGTAGAAGATTATTGTGCTTGTGGTTGTTGAAATTGTTGGCTTCTTTTATCGATTATTTGTTTTTGTTCTTGTCGTAAAAATTCACGAAGATTTGGATCGTCAATGGAATTCAACTTCGTCAATAAAATTTTATTTTCTTCTTTGAATTCGTTTTGTCTCGAAGCTTCATTTCTTGAGTTACTTGACTTTTCCATCGCCTCAACAAGCCGACTATTTTCCGATTGGATCATTTTCACGTAATCTTCATCAATTTTTCTCTTCAATTTTGCTTTCTTTACCCCAATAGGTCGTTGTGATGATGTGGCCTCGCCTGCAACATCCTTATTTAAATTTAATGAAAATGATGGCAAGTTAGGAGATGACATCAACGGTGAATCAGGAATAGGAGCCTCAGACTCAGATGATACATAAGTAGATCCATGCTTTCTTGGTTTTGTTATTCCAAAATCAACATCGCTAAACTTCTCAAAATCTTTCAGCATATCCCACACATGATCAAATTTAAAGCCTTTTTTAAAGTTCGGGTCTTGCATAAGTAAAGTTTTTGCTTGTGCAATCTGTAGTATTTAAGTAAAAGTAAGATAAAAAATAATCAAATATATATAAATATAGTATAATCAAGTAACTACAAAAAATACTTACGATATCTTTTTCGGAAGCACCACTTGGATGTAAATTTTCGACTTGACGAATACATCCATTTAATTTTCTGACAGCCTTCTTGTGATGACCCAAAAGGTCATCACTTATTTTTAAAATGAATTCTACATTTTGAGGCCTTAAAAACCTCTTTTACCATCTCCTCGATTTGCATAGGTAGTCCAGGCGCGTAGCCGGAAAACCTATATGTGAAAATCTGTGAAAAATGATAAATTTTGACTATAAAATGAATTAATTTGACTTCGGTCAATATTTTGGGTAAACGGACCCGGATCCGTAATTTGACGGTCCCGGAGGGTCCGTAGGAAAACATGAAACTTGGGCGTATGCCCAGAATCGAATTCCGAGGTCCCAAGCCCGAGGAATGAATTTTTGAAAGAAAATATTTTCTGAAAAATATAAGGGTTTTTTTTTTAAAGTGAAATGTTATGTGAAACCTGTGGTATCAGGCCCATATTATGGTTCCGGATCCCGGTGCAGGTTCAATGTGATTTTTATGTGTTGTTGGTAAAGTTTGGTAAGAAACGGAGTCCATTTGACGTGATTCGAACCTTAAATGCAAAATTTGATGTTTAAAGAAGTTTTGAGAAATTTCATCGATTTTGAGATTTAATTCGATGTCCATGATGTTATTTTGGTGATTTGATTATACGAATAAGTCTGTATGATGTTTTTGAGGTTGTGCGTATAATTAGTTTGGAGCCCCGAGGGCTCAGGTGAGTTTTGGATAGGCCACGAAGTGCATTTTGGACTTAGAAAATTGCAGGTTTCATTGCTGGTATGATCAGGCCTGCATGCAAAGCCTAGCTCTCAAATGCGATATCGCAAATGCGAGGGCTTGGTCGCAAATTCGAACCAGCCCAGACCTGCCTAATCTCGCAAATGCGAGATGCTCTTCGCAATTCCGGCCTCACAAATGCGAGGGTCCCTTTCGCAAATGCGAAGTTCCAAATTCCCTGAAGGGTTCGCAAATGCGAGTCTTGTTTGCAATTCCTAAGCTAGCAGAGGTCGGGGTTCGTAATTGCGAACTCCTGTTCGCAATTCCCATATCTACGACCTGCAACTATTATACTTAAATGAATTTTTAATCCATTTTCACATCTTTTCAAAACACAAACTCCCTAGGGCGATTTTTCAAGAACAACTCTTCTTCCAAATCAATTGTAAGTTAATTTTAACTCATTTCCTTCAATCAATAACATCTTTTAACATGATTTCAACTCAAATCAATAATTTTCATGGGGGGAAATTGGGTGTTTTGTGTATAACCTAGGTTTTTCAAAAAATTGGGGATTTGGACCTCGATTTGAGGTCCAAATTCAAAACAAATTATATATGTAGGTTCGTGGGGGAATGGGTGATCGAGTTTTGGTTCGAACCTCGGGTTTTGACCATGTGGGCCCGAGGGCGATTTTTGACTTTTTGGGTAAAACTTTTGAAAACTTATTTTCATGCATTGATTTATTTAGCGTTTATTGATGCAATTAAGTAACTTATGGCTAGATTCGAGCGAATTGGTGGTGGAATCCAGGGGTAAAGCTATAATTGAAACATGAATTGTGTTCGTGGCATCGAGGTAAGTGTTTAGTCTAACCTTAGCTTGAGGGATTGGGAGTTGTGTCATATTTGCTATTTGCTTCTTGTTAAGTACGATGTATAGGCATGGTGACGAGTATATATACGTTGATGTCGAGCATGACCGTGAGTCTTAAATTGTAATTTATTTGTTCTAAATAATACTACGGATGCTTAAGTTGACGATTCTCTGTATTGAGCGAGGATTATAAATATTCTCGTGGAAATTACTTATGACTGAGTATTGGTGTTGGCTGAGGTAGTTAGATGTTGGAACAAGTTTGGTTATAGCTGTTTCTCCCTTGCCAGGATATTGTTACTTATACTGTCGATTTCCCTTGCCGGGACTCTTGCTATGATTGTTGTTGATTGTATATGTGGATCGGGTTACACACCGCAATAATGATATATTTGGATCGGGTTGCACGCCGCAACAATGATATATATTTGGATCGGGTTGCACGCCGCAACAATATTATATTTGGGTCGGGTTGCACATCGCAACAATATTATATGTGGATCGGGTTGCACGCCGAAACAATATTATATATGGATCGAGTTGTGCGCAACAATAGTGATAAATGATATGGATTGGGTTGCGCACCGCAATAGTATTGTTATATATATTGGGATCGGGTTGTGCTCTGCAACAATTGCTGATACAAGGTGTTTATAGATTTGGTACAAGTTTCTTATCGTTTTGTTGTGAAATCTAAGCTGTTCTTATGTTGTCACTCTTGATTCACTATTGATATTAGAATACCCCGCAGCATGAATCCCCTCCCATTTTTACTTGTTTATTTCTGTTTATTTTCCGCCGTATATTATATAACTGCACAGGTTTATTTGATAGTCTGGTCCTAGCCTCGTCACTACTTTGCCAAGGTTAGGTTAGACACTTACCAGCACATGGGAAGGATTGTGCTGATACTACACTCTACACTATGTGCGGAACCCAAAGCAGCTCTTGGGCCATAGCATTTGGATGGCTGCCTTCAGTCCAGCTAGAGATTCCGAGGAAGTCCTGCAGGCGTCCGCAGGCCCGCCGTTCTCTTCTATCCTATTATGTACTCTATTTTCATTTGATTTCGAGATAGATTGTATTTCTTTTAGATATTTATTGTAGTAATCATAGTCCGTCCGTGATTTGTGACACCGGATTTCGAGTAGAGACGTATGTTGGAATTGTCGTACTAGTTTTAGGTTATTATATTAGACTAAATCTTCCGCTTGATTTTATTTATCGTTAATATTTACATGTTGATTACCTGTTAATTCAGATTGTTAAAAAGGATTAAAAATGAAATAGTTAATAATTTCTATATTTCACGGCTTGCCTAGCTACTGCGAGTAGGCGCCATCACGACTCCCGAGGGTGGTAAATCCGAGTCGTGACAAGTTGGTATCAGAGCTCTAGGTTACATAGGTCTCATAATTCACGGACAAGCTTAGTAGAGTTTGAGGGATCGGTACAGAGACGTCTGTATTTATCCCAGAGGCTATAGAGTTAGGAAAAAACTTCACATTTATTCTTTCTTGTCGTGTGGTTTGATTTCTCAATGCTAATTGAATTCCTACTCTGTTCCTTCGCAGATGGCAAGAACACGCGCTTCCTCATCTACCGATCAGCAGCCCGAGCTCCCAGCAGTAGCTCCCATGAGAGGCAGAGGGTGAGGTCGAGGCCGTGCTAAAGGCCAAGGCAGGGGCAGAGCTCAGCCCAGAGCAGCAACACCAGTGGAGGAGCCTCAGGTTGACTTTGATGATGAGGTTTTGGCCTAGACAGTTCCGGTGGGCCTAGCTCAAGTCCCAGAGGGGTTTATTACTACCCAGTAATCCAGGACGCTCTGGTCTGTCTAGTGGGCTTTATGGAGAGTGTCACCCGGGCAGGCTTGCTTCTTGTAGCACCAGCCGTCTCTCTGGCTGGAGGAGGAGCCCAGACTCCTGCTACTCGCACTCCGTAGTAGATGGCTCCCCAGTTTCAGACTCCAGTAGTTCAGTCAGTTGGAGCAGTTCAGCCGGGTGTGGTAGCTCAGACCTGTGATGGATCAGTTATGTCTGCCGATGCTTTGTGGAGGTTGGATAGGTTTACCAAGCTCTTCACTACTACTTTCAGTGGTGCATCTTCTGAAGATCCCCAGGATTATCTAGACAACTATCATGAAGTTCTCATGAACATGGGGATAGTTGAGACCAATGGGGTTGATTTTGCTACGTTTCGCTTGTCAGGATCCGCCAAGACTTGGTGGAGAGACTATTGTAGGCTAGACCAGCCGGATCACTAGCCTTGACTTGGGATCAGTTTACTCAGCTATTTATGGAGAAGTTTCTCCCCATCACTCAGAGAGATGCCTATCAGAGGCAGTTTGAGCATCTCCAGTAGGGTTCTATGAATGTTACCCAGTATGAGACCAGATTCATCGACTTGGCTTGTCATGCTCTTATCATACTTCCCACCGAGAGAGAGAGAGAGAGGGTGAGGAGGTTCATTGACGGACTTATTCAGCCGATTCGTCTTCAGATGGCTAGGGAGGCAGGGAGTGAGATCTCTTTCCAGGAGGCGGCCAATGCAGCCAGGAGAGTTGAGATGGTTCGATCGTAGGAAGGTGGCCATGGGTCGGACAAGAGGCCTCGTCATTCAGGAAGATTCAGTGGTGTCTCGTCTGGAGGCAGGGATTCGTATGGTAGAGGCTATCCTCCTAGGCCCTTTCAATCAGCACTTTAGGTTTCTCACAGTGCCTCAGGTGGTCGTGGTCCTCAGATGCAGTATTCTGATCAACAGCCCTACAGTGCACCACCAGCTTTTATCAGTGCACCGCCGCTCCAGAGTTTTCAGGGTAGTCATTCAGGTCACCAAGGTCAGTCTTAGTTTCCTCATACGCAACACTCAAATGGATGTTTTGATTGTGGCGAGTATGGTCATATCAGGAGGGCTAGTCCGAGATTCGCCTAGGTAGTCAATTGATGGATACTTGAGTCTAAGACATGATTGACACATTTAGGAAGTATGATATAATTATTGCACGATTCTACCCACTTTACACCTCTCGGTGGTTCGAGTGATTGTTCCAGTCCAATGCGGCAGCACACCATTCTGTGCGGTCCGCACAAGTGATGTTCAGAGAGTGTGCATTTCCAGGCCAACAGGCATTGCGGCCGCATGGGATTTTGTGCGGTCCGCATTGAGTTCATCGCGGCCGCACTCGATTTAGTGCGGTCCGCAAAGCCAGAGTTCAGAGAAGTGCCAGTTCTAAGTTTGAAGCACAATGCGGTCCGCGCTCCATTTCATGCGGACCATACTAGAAGCCACCGCGGACGCACTCGA